TTCTAAAAAAAAAAAAAAAGACAAGTATATTAGTGAAAGTCGATTTACTACTATTTATAACAATGTGTAGGTCATATATTGTTCCCAAAATCAGGTAAAGTAGGTGCCTTCAGCCACATATGAGTGGTTGGAAACTAAACAGAATGATAATTCTATAATATCGTTCTCACAAGGCTCTTTAAAAAAGAGTGGCATTTGTTAATGTGAGTGCCTAGTACCATTTGCATGTGAAAAGCCCTGTAAACACTGAATAGGATTTCTAAATTGAAGTACATGTTTCATTTCCTAATTATAAAAAAACATCAAAATTGTGCTCATTATTTATTTATTCACAAATGCTATCATGAAATTACTTTTAATTGGTGAGAGAGGACTCAACTCTTAACCACTGTTGTTACTTTTCAGCAGACCATAGCTTGGTTGGCAGCATCACAACCTCTGGTAATTCCAAATCCATGAGTCCAACAACTTCTTCTGACCTCCTTTTGCACATGCATACAGGTTTGCAAAGACAGACAGAGACACATAGAGATAGACAGGAACACACATTAACACACACACACACACTCACACACACACAAACAAACTTATTCCAGAACATTTACAATGGAGAATATTCTCATCTTCACAATTGTTTCCTAAAATGTAGTTGAAGAAAATTTTGATGAATTAGAAATTACTGAAAACTTAGTTTGTAGCTTCAGCATACATGAAACATGCCTGATTTATATATCATATTCTGCCCTTTCAGTACTTCAAATTACAGAGGAGCACCAATTCCAAGAAATACTTCTTCCTTAAGATAATAAGGGAAGGGAAGATGACATTTTTACCTGTAAAAGTGAAGTTCCTCCAGGTTTCCAGCATCACATCTATGTAGAGATTCTTCTGAGAAGGATCCAGCAAAGCCCACTCTTCCTGGGTGAAGTTCACGGAAACATCCTCAAATGTCAAAGAATCCTAAACATTCCATAGACTCCATTGATAATATGATCTCACAATTCTGTACTATCCACACATTTTGTTCTATGACAGAAAAGTCCTCCTGCAAGATGTGGGTGGTTCTGAAAGGATAGGATGCTCCTCTCACTACTGGGCATAGAGCATAAAATGTGCTGCTGCCCTTCCCCAGTTTTCTTTCTACAGGGCAGGTCTACTTCCCATCTTAAGAAACTCCAATGACTTGATGTCCAGAGCAGAGGCCAAGTAGCACCCAGGAGCCTGCTTGTCTTTTGAAATTCCTACTATGTTTGAATTTTGACAGCATAAAAAAATTTAACATTGGGTACACGTAGCATAAAAGATTTATACAAACTCTATGCTACATTATGACTAGTTCTCATTATGAAAGTCTATTAATCATTTCAAAATTCACAGAGAAAATTAGAGGATCAGCCCTGTGACCGCAAAAATAACAGGTGTTGGGAAACCCTGCTGTTAGGGTTGTAGTTCTCCATGTCCGGATAGCCCTAAGGGGCTCGGCACCAAATGGAAGGACTCCCCTTTTCAGCAGGGGGCCTCCTGCTCTCTTCCTGGAAAGCACCACCAAGCACGGATGCCTGACCTTATTTGGAACATGACCTTTGGCATAGTTACCTGGAGTAAAAACTACCCCCAGGTTTTTTCTACTCCCAGGTTTTTTCTATATGATAATCGGGCATTATCTGATAGTCTGGAAGATAGGAGCCCACTGCCACATGTAAATAAAGCATACTATGAGCACCTATCAACTGAGGCTTTTGCTACTGCCTCCACACTATAAATTCTTTAGTTTTCCCACTAATAAACGGAGCTGTTTTCACTGTGCCTGGAGCTGTTTTCACTGTGTCTGGAGCTGTATCACTGCTGTTTCACTGCACCTGTGATCAGCCTGTGATCAGTTTCCCTGGAAGGGCTGTCTTCCATCAGCACCCACTGGCCGTTCTGACCCCGTTCGCCATTTCTGCTCTCCCTGCCCTCTTGGGCTGGTGGCCAACGACCTGCGAAGAAAGGGAGAGCCCCCTGCAGCTGGCCCCCAGAGCCTCCCACAGCTGGTGCCCGAACGTGTGGCTCCTGGAATGCGCAGAGTTCGTGAGTATCCCTCCCATCAGGAGGGCATCGGCAATCTCTCTCTCCTATCAGGAGTATCCCTCCCATCAGGAGGAAAAAGGCAGCTTTGCCTTTAAGCCATCCCCACCTTTGCAGATCGGCAATCTCTCTCCTATCACCTCCCACCAGGAGGGTAAAGGCAGCTTTGCCTCCAAGCCGCCCCACCCTTGGGGACTGGCAGTCTCTCCTTTTTCCACCTTTTATTTTCGGTCTGAGTCTTCATTAAAGACAAAGGAGCAACTGAGGCTTTCTGGTCAAGGCTACTCCTTGATGTTAGCTGAAGGCTCTGAGTCCTCTTAACGGACCCCAACTGCCTGCACAGGTGTAGACAAGACCTCCTATCTATACATCTTTCTAATACACAAATCGGTAACGCAACTGCCAGTTAAATGCTCTTAGAGTGGCCGCCGATCTCTTAAACTTGCGGGAAGGCTTGCACAGCGGACTGAGTGGAATCACCTGAGATTTTGATTCCAGACATGTTCCCTTAGAAATCAGCGTTTCACCCCACTTTCCTTTTCTATCTTAAACAACACCCCTAGAAACAAAAATCCCCAAAGTGCTAAGGGATCTTCATATAAGCCTTAAAGTCAACTTCTAAAATAAACTTCCCTAATCTGTTTTGTTATCTTGCCCCTAGGGTGCTCAAGCCCAACCTAAACCAGTTAGGTAAGAATTTAAATTAACTAGCCGCTGCAGAGCACTTAAAAATTCAAGGTGGCTTGCACCATACAAACAAAAAAAAATATTTTAAAAAGCCATTTTTTTTTTTTCCGTAAACCTTCTCCTGGGGAAGGGCCTCATCAGAGGACCACACCATCTCTCTCTCTTTGCTTTATCTTGGTTATTGCCTTCACGAGGGTCTGGATAAGGTTTGTGAGCAACTGAAGCCTCTTGGTCAGGGCGACTCCATGATATTGGCCGAAGGCCCCCTGCCCTCTTTCCGGACCCCGACAGCCCAACTGGGTGTAGGCAGTAACCTTTACAACTTTCATAAAAATCTGTTAATGCAGCAACCAGTTAAAAGTCACAAGGATGGTTGCCAGTCCCTTAAATCTGTGGCTAGGCTTGTGTTCGTCAGAACGTATCAATCCCCTGGTGGCAGGCTGCCCCAAGAACACTGAATACCACTGACCACACTTCTTTTCTATAATGGGTAATTCAGCATCACACAAAAAAAACCCCTCCAAATTCACTCCCTTAGAGCCCCACTTAAATCAAGAGGACTTAAGATTTCCCAAAAGGAAAGCTCAAAATTTTAGAATGAAGTATTTCAATTTGCACCCTGGATCCTGTCAGCAGACATTTCTGATCCAGAGGTCTGGACCAACATTGCCTATCTGGCTTGTAAAAGGGAAATCCAGGAAAGATACCATTTGCCCCTTTCCTTTCTCCCCATAATAGCAGCCATTCCACAATGCTTAGGAAACCCACCTAAGACTGAGGAAAACTTACTAACACCAGGGGATAATAAAGAGGAGTGTTCAAACAATGAAAAAGACCCCAAAGATTTCCCAACAGCAGATTCGACAGCCCTAAAAAATAATGAAAAAGACCCTGAAGATTTCCCAACAGCAGAATCGACAGCCCTAAAAAATAAAGAAAAAAATCCTAAAGACTGCCCAGTAACAGATTCAACAGCTCCAGAAATAAAAATTGACCAAGTCAGACAAAACCCACCCATCAACAAAAATGACCTTTACCCCCCTTTCCCCCCTATGAATCCTCATGGACTAATTTAACAAACCCGGATGTTAAAACCCAGACTTCAAAAACTCCTGAAGATCCTCAGATAAATCCCGCTCCCCCTTCACCTCCGCCAGCGCCACCTGTGGTGCCACACCCCACAGCCATTGAACAGCTCTGTAATCTCAGGGATAATGGGAGTTGTTGCCCCCAGAATCACCAGACACAATGGCCTCAGGACCCAAAAACCCAATCGGTAGAAGCTTTTCCCGTTAACCTACAAATAACAAGGCAACGTCCACTGGCTTGGTATCCACTCCCGGCAGCAGACTTAAAAGAGCTGCGCCAAGCTGTTCGTGAGGATGGGGGATGGGATCCATGGACAAAAAATCTATACTACAAACATTTAATACTAATCTGCTAACCCCCCAGGACTGGAGAGATATCTGTAGATCTACCCTCCCCAGTCCATTATTTGTACAATGGGAGGCTTTATTTAGAGATGAATGCCTGATGCAGGCTAAAAGAAATGACACACATAATCAACAGCTAAGACCACAACAGGGACAGGATCCACCACCTGGATTCACAGGTTGGAACTATAACCAGCTTTTTGGCCAGGGCAACTTTTCCACAGGAATCCAGCAGGCTGTGA